GGGGAAGGGGCCTTTTGAACTGCCTAAACTGCACGCGAAGGAGGGTGGAAGGAGTCCCCTTCGTCGCGAGGATGACTCGAACGATTCTCGAACGTTAATTTTGGATTGTTCAACAACGTCTCGTAGGGGTGGAATAATTAATTTTTCGAATTGGGGGGAGGAAAGAAGGGATCGTGGAGGGATTGAAATTTAGAGTGGTTTCGATTTTTCTCTCTCTCTCTCTCTCTCTTCTTTTTCCTTTTGGATCAGATCGGAGAATCCACGAGATTCGAGAGACAGAAGATTACGAAGATAATCGATTTTAATCATTCTTCTTAATTTATCTGTAGTTACCTTCTGTAGTTATTATTTGCAAGAAACTTTGTTCGTTACTCGAGATGGATGGAAACACGCATCACACGCGATCATACGCGAGCATATCGATTGAACTTTGCTCCTATCAGGCGATCCTTGAACCGCATCGCACGTATATGTATTACGACTTTCTTGAGATTTGCATCCTTTAAGTTACACTCGTTCCTAATTCGAGGTAACGTGTATCCATTATAAAAGTGACTCATCGAGTTCCGCGTAACTAATTAACAGCGCAATCTTTCCCAGTCATCGTACAAAATTAATTCATATTTCAAGAAATTTTTCCACTGTCCACGATTAATAATCCATCCGCCGATTACAATTTCGTAATTTCGAAATATATATATATATATATATACAGGATGAATTTCTAATTTTTCGGATCGTTTCTACGCGAGATCGCCTAATTGGAATCGAAATTTTTATTCGAATTCAATTCGCTCTTACGAACGCTCTGTCTCATTCGAAACATCTTTCATCCATACTTTTTCCAATTTTGCATCGATTAACCTCGAAAAATCGGTGGCGGCCTCTCCTCAATTCCGACTTGGTATCGAGGTAATGAACGCGCATAAAATCCTCTCGCTTACACACGAGTACTCTGCTCTTCTATCGTCCGCTCGCTTAATGGCAGGCAATAATTGTTGTTTTTCAACGGAAACGGGCGTAGATATACGTGTCAGATCAGCCACGATGCGTTTCAAACTGGCCTCCGGCCTATGATAATCTGTCCTATTCTATAACCGTTCCGCGAATATCATTAAATTTTAACGATCCGTCTTATGGTATGCTGCGCGTCCTTCGCTGCATGCACTTTATCCACCTTCTCCTCTCCTTCTCTCTTCTCCGTGCACGTGGATTATCCACCTTTGCTCGCCGCTTCACAGCCTCTGCCCGAACGATCGATCCATCCATCGATCAGTTTTTCTTCCTTTCGATCGCCCATTCTCTTCCTTTCCTCTTTTTTCTTTCCTTCTTTCTTTCCCTTTCGACACTCTTGTTTCTCCTCCGCTGGATTATTCTTTTAAACGTACGACGATTTTTCTCAACTCTTCGATCCATTCACCATCTCGTTTCACGAGATTGAAACTCTCCTCTCTTCGAGTTTCTTTTCGAAATTCTTTTTTTCTAATTCGAAGAACAATTTCCTCGCCTTCGTTAAAAATTACGTCTCTCTGATATTTCGTTTTAATTTTCAGTTCTCCTTCGTTTCTTCCTCTTTCCTTCTCTTACGTGTTTCGATCGACGCGAAAAACAGGCGTATGCCTGAGCAGGGAAGAGTCGACTGTATCCGAGTTATAACTTGACTCGGAGAAGGGTGGATGAAAAAAATATAAGGGAAGAGAAGGATACAACAATCGACGTTTATACAAGTCGTCGTTCGAGGCAGTTTAAGGGATTAGAGGACTTTTTTTCCTTCTTTTTTTTTTTTAATTTGCAAACAACCGAAGGGGAAGGGTTAAAGAGTTGGATATACCCGAGAAATCCGGTCGTAAACGCGGTGGAGAAACGACTCAACTTTTAAAAAAAATCACTTCTTAACCCTTGCGATACCTGCTGTAACAGGCTAAAAGACTTTATTCTTTTTTCAGTTTCGATTTAAATTTTTCCCCCCGTTGAAGAAACGAGATCCTTGTTATCCTCAGTTTCCAAGGAGTTGAGATAATTGATATATCACTTAGTATGCGATTCTTTTTTTTTTTGCAATAACAATGGTGATATCCATATTTAAATATTGGAACAACGAGCTGTTTCGAATTACAGTTAAAATTTTATTTTCTGTAATTCAAAAAAAAAAAAAAAGAAATGATTTTGGCTGGAAAATGTACAACGAGAAAGAGACTGTTTGTTGTGCAAAGTGAAAAGTAAACGAGGTTTGTGACAAATAACGATATCTCCAATCTAATTAAAAATAATCCAATAATCCAATTATACTATTAAAGAAATATTAATATCCAACACTGAGGCAAAAATCTAATTAATACACCGCGGACTCATCGATAAAAACGTAGCTTGCCTGCCAATGCAAAGCCGGCAATAAAACTGATCAATCTGTTCTATCCTCCGATAGAAATCCAATGAAAGTAAAGCGCTCGTTAAAACGACAATCTGTAAAAACCTGACCATTAATCGCGCCTTCGAACGATTCGAATTATTACCTAAAAAAAAAAAAAAGAAAAAAAAAGAAAAAAGAAAAACACCTCTTCCTTTACTCCTATTTCCTTACTCCTCTGACTCGTCCACACTCCCAATCCCGTCCTTCTTTCCCTCGTGTCGTGTTTTCGTGTGTTTTCGCGATTAACCACGCCGGATAAGCCGTGTAATCCCCTTTAACCTTTCGACGAGCTAATCCGCCGTTGGATTTACAAGGATGTAAACGGCGAGATTCTCGAACGAGCCGTGAACGAGCCGTGAGATTTCGAGAAACAACCCCTTTCCTTCACCCAAGCCAGGAGGGGGGGGGGGAGCGAAGTGTTAGAAGACGTCATCGGGAGGGAGGGAGGGAGGGGGCTCGAATAAAATCGATACGCGGAAGGATGAGACGTAGGCGAAAAAATATAGGGAGGATAAGTCTCGATAAAAGAAAAAAAAAAAAAAAATAGAAATCTTTTCTCCCCTCTTCCTCCTTCTCGGATAAAAATCGAGCAATTTTTAACGGTAGAGATAACTCGGATTCGTTCGATTTAAAAATTAAAATATTTTTTCGAGCCTATCAGTTCGACTTGAAAATGTGTCTACACAATTTTTCGAGCGAAAAATTCGACGGGACGAAATCAAATTCTTCTTTCCAAGCGGATTATAAGACACGAGAGAGAGAGAGAGAGAGAGAGTGAGAGTGATACTCCTGGCGACGAGGATCAATTCCGTGGTGGAAGAGGAATAACGAGGGG